TACTCCCTTAACACAAGAATACTTTCTTCTAGTAAATTGGCATTCTATGATGCTCACCTTCCCGACACAACCGGATGTTTGTCTTGACTTCATTATTTCACATGGTAATTGTAACAGAGGGATGGGTGTCCTTTGCTTCCAGGAGGGTTGACACAGAGATCTGTTCCACACCCAGAAAGCCTCCCTTAATACACTGTAGATGGAACAAAGTGGGTTTATATACTTGCAAAGCCGAAGGGGTCTTCTTGGTGAGGAAAGGGGAGGGGATGGGAAGGGAGACAAAGATGCCTTGATGCAGTGTGGACTCAAGATGTGGGTGATCTTTTGGTCAGTTTAATGGTGTCAATAGGAAGAAAGTAAAAAACAACAACAACATTGCCAGCATGTATATAGCTAACCATAGTGGCTTATGAGCAAGGCTCTAGGAGAATTTATAGCTAAAGCATGTGAGGTGAGTGAGTCTGCTTGCTCCAGGGAGAATTATTTCAGTATAGTTTAAGGTCGTGCTCCTAATTGTGACTCGAAAATGGTGAGGACAGGATTTCCCCTCCCCTTGCTTCTCCTGCCACCTGTCATAATGTACTCCTTCCCCAAAGCTTCATCTCATAGTTCAAGGTAAGGGTCACAAAAGAGGTAAGAGAAACTGTTTGCAGCTGCCCCTGCAGGTGGAATCCTTACATTGTTCATGGCTAACGCTTATGTGAAAAAAGGTTGGCCCAGAAATATCCCTGTAGGCCCTTCTGACCACAGAAGTCTGAAACCTACTTAGTATCTGAAGTTTTAGCCTGTTTGTGTCTGAGTGCTCAGTAACGGGAAATGAAAATGGCCCTTGAATACACCGATGCATTTGAATTACGGTGCTGGTGAAGGATTCTGACAGTCTCCCCGATTGCCAGAAAAGCAACCACAAAATAACTCTATCTTGGAGGAAATACAGCCAGAATGCTAGGGGCAGGGACGGCACGTGGGCGCCGGGCATGTTATTAGGTGAGTCGGGAGCCTGGCAGGGACACCATGCATGGTAGAAGGGTCATTCTAAAAAGAGGAGGGCCCTCAACGAGATGGATTGGCACAGTAACTGCAACAATGGGCTCGCTCAGACACCCATTGTGAGGATGGCGTAGGATCCGATAGTGTTTCATTCCGTTGTACAGAGAGAGGGTGGCTTTGAGGCAGAACCGACTTGATGGCCCCAGTAACTGGCCCCCCATACAACTGAAGATCTCTCTCTCTCACTCTCTTTCTCTTTCTCTCTCCCTCTCTCTCTCATTTTTAGAATGTAAACAGAGACAGTAGATTTGGTTAATTATGGTGCAAGACGTAAATTCCATTCTGAATAACTGTTTGAATTTCTTATTAATAGGGGATGTTTTGAATAATGTCACCAGGTCAGAGACCCTTGGAAAGGTTTATGAATCATATTTCTGACAGGGCTTCGAATTGGTTCATTCTGTTTCGAACCTCTGCTGAGAAGTCTGAGTTCTACTCCAGGTATACAGATTCAGAACTCACGCTTTAATAAGATGCCAAATAAAAATCACCTGGGGATCTTGTCAAAATGTTGATTCTGATTCAGTCTTTGTGGGGTAGTGATCAGAGTTCTCAGCAGGGGTTGAAGCAGAATGAACCACTTCAAAGCCCTGCTTCTGCCACTTGCTCTAGGAGGGAAAGATGTCAAATTAAAATATATTTTATAGAGGTCTCTTTACTCTGTCTTAGGACAAGGACAAGAAAAAGACAGATCACTTTTCGGAGACCCTCAGCATGAGGCCATAATGGAGTTCAAAGGACTCATGGCCACACTGCTAATTACAGACAGAAGGAAGCTTGTCACAAAATCACAATTGGTGGTAAACCAACGGATCACTGTGCCAGGTGGGAATAAGTAAACAGAAGAGGAACCATGATTGGGATACGTTTGGGGGACCTCGATCCACCTGAGTTGTGGTATATGGCTCATGATCATGTGACCCAGGTGCCCCAATTTCCATTCAGGGCGGCACACCTAGCCAAGTCCCTGAGAACAAGACCGTCCTTCCCTGGGCTGGCTCTAGAGGAGTCAAGTCTTAAAAATTCTTTGCCTGAAGGCAACGCTTTTTACATTGCAGGCTAATCAGAAAAAAACTCAAAGACGTGAATTTATGTCAAGCCTCAAAACGGAGTGAAAACCCCTCCTGATGATGGGGTAAATCATTGTTGACGTTGTTAGGTGTGGTCGACTTGGCCCAGACGCTTGGCAATCCGATGCACAGCCTGGCCCTTGCCTTTCTCACACTTACTGTGTTTGAGCCGGTTGTTGCAGCCACTGTATCTGTCTGTCTGTAAGCCGTAGCCTTCAGTAAACCAAGTGCTTAGAATTCAAGCTCAACCCCCTCACTGGTTCAGCTACATCAAGGGGGCAGCCAATACAGGGCCCTGTCCAAACCCCTCCACTCCCCCACTCCCAGCCATCATGTCGACTCAGAGTCCCAGCTACCCCAGATAGGGTTTCTAAGGCTGTACATCTTTATGGGAGCAGCTGGCCTCGTCCTTCTCCCATGGAGCGGCTGGTAGGTTTGAATCTCCGACCTTGTGGTTCACAGCCCGCCATCACCACCAAGGCTCTGGTTCACCCCTGATGGCTTCTAAACTGATTTCTAAGGTGTCTCACTATCTCTGTGAGACAAATCCTTTGGTTAAGAGTGCATCTTAAATCCCTTTATGCTGACCCTTTGGCCTTGGGCTAACAAATCTCCAAATCACTGCCATTGAGTCCATTCCAATCACAGGGTCCTACAGCGACCCTATAAGACAGAGTAGAACTGCCCCTGTGCCTTTCCAGGACTGTAACTCTTCATGGGTGAAGAGAGAGAGACGCATCTTTTCCCCAGCTGGGTTTAATGGGAGGTGGTTAATATATCCGACTGCCAGACACTGCGAGGTCATTGTAAAATATTCTTATTTAATGCTCACAACTTCCCTGTGAAATGTTTTAAATTATCCCCGTTGTTTACAGTTCCTCCAATGCCCAGTTGCCACTCCACTCCAACTTTCATGTGTGCTATTCTGTCCACGGCAGGAGCTCTGGTTGCCCAGGGCAGTAAGCACTGGACGGCTAACCGAAAGGTCCATGGTTTAAAGCCCCCAGCCACACTGCGGCAGACAGATGAGGCAGTCTGCTTCTACTCTGTCCTAGAGGGTCATGCATTAGAATCTACTTGATAGCAGTGTACTTGTTCCGCCTGGGACAGGCTCATTGCTCCCATTTGCCTAATGAATGCCAACTTAATCCTTCCGAGCTCACTGTGATTATTACTGCAAGGAGATCGTCCCAACGCTGGAGGGCTACCCCGTTACACTTTTCTAGAACTCCACTTCAGTAGGACGAGAAACTATGTGATCTGTCATTCATACCTCTGCTGAAAGGTAAGGTCTATGAGGACAGGAACTGTGTCATGGTTCTGAGTTATTTATAGGGACTGGAACACTGCCCCGCACATGCGTGCTCAGGAACTGATAGGATCCCAAAATATGAGGGTCAGTCAAAAGGTATGACTACGAAGCCATGGAAACTTTTATTTTGTTTTTAAAAATGTGAAACCATTGTTTCTTGACATATCCTCCACTAACAATACAATTCTCAAAGTAGTGTTTCCACTACTCTAAGCCTTTCCTCAAAGAATTCTCTGCTATCATTTATATCGTATCAAAATGTCAGCTTGGGCATCCTTAAGAGACTCAACTCGTGTTCTTTATCTATTTTCTTTGGATCCGGGGAAGAAAAAGAAATCTAAAGGGATGCGGTCAGGGCTATAGGGTGAATGGAGTAAGGTTTCCCAAGGCCATTCCCATTGGACAGCCCTTTCTACCCTCAAAGAATGAGCAGGCGCATGGTCATGATGGGAGAAGATTTCTCGGCCCTTTTTGCACTAGTGCAGTTTATCATGATAACCCCTTTGAACTGCCCCCCGCCCCCCAAAAACAATTGCCATAACCTTATGCGCTGACTTCTCTGCCTCCACTTTGACCCAGCAGATGCTGGGGAGGCCCCTGCTTTGATTGGACCTTTGTGTTTTTTAAAGACCAAGACAAGGGTATTACAGAGAGAACTTGCTTGCTGCCACCCACTGATCACAGAGACATGCTTAAACGTGTTTCGTTTGGAATAAAGCCACGCGTGTGTATAAGCTGGAGTCCTAGTAGCAATACGTTCTTACCCTCAAGAATTTTATCATCAGATTTGAACACTGGTCTAGTATCACTTCAAGCTCTTCGTTTAGATTACATCATATATAGAATGTAACAGGAAGAATGACTTAACAGAATTGCCCAAGAGACTTTTCCTCAATTCAAAGTCAGCCTTCTTAACAATAAAAGTTATTCATTTACCTTTATACCAGCTAAGGTGTGGCTCTGAGGCATGGAACTCAGACCATCTTCAAAAGGTCTTCTCTTCTATTTGTAGGTAAGTTGCCCAAGAAGTCTCACCTTTCTGAGCTAATATTTTTGAAGAAAGCTCCTGGGAAAGGCTCATGTACGAGTAGGAACTTTGCAGTAGGTAAACACATCGGCTGGTGTGTCACTGTTTGCTGACTTCTGCTGGGCAGAACGCCGCTGCTTGTTTCGTGGGAAAAACAAAACAAAACTGGACAGCAACATCCAAAATGAAGGTCCCTCAAACTTTCGAGGAACAAACGGAATGCATCGTGGATACCCTGCTCACCGACTTCCTGGGCACAGCACCAAAGGTTTCCAACCGGTGTCTACAATGTTCAGATCAACCAGACTCAGGTAAGATCCTAGACCGGAGGTGATGGTTGAACGTCCTCAAGAGAACCTGTGTATGCTTTCTTGATTTCCACTTCAGTTTCAAAAGGCAAAGTCCAAGCTTCCAGCCCCATCTGGAGTCTTCATGGAAGGGGAAGAGATTCTCGATGCAGGGAGATTCTCTGACCATTGGTGTCCTCAAAGCATTAAAATGTTCCTGGAAAAGGACAATACTAAAATTGTTGAAATGTCTAGAGAACGTTCCAAGCTTCCAGGCTTCTGGGACTAGCCATTCTTCCAAAGATTGTGACAGTGTGACTTTGTTCCCTCTCTCCTAGGAGAACCTTGCCCTTTTGACGTGGCCATCGTTGCTGGTCGCCTTCGGATGCTGGGGGACCAGTTCAATGGAGAATTGGAGGGCTATGTCAAAAGCATCATTGAAGACACCACTCAGGGACAGGTCAGGTTCTTCTTGGTGTGGTTTTAATTGTTTGCTGCTCTTTTCCATTCCAATTGCCCTGTGTCTGCTACTCCTATGACTCTGACTAGAAATGTATTATGAAAAGTTGGGGATTTATATTCATCCAGCTGATGCAGCTGGGATTTGTGAACGGCTAGTTCTTCAAGACTTAATCAAAACCTAAGTGAAATTCAGATGAAAAGCTCTTGACCTAAGCTGATCCACCTTCAAGTTGCCTCCACTTGGTTTCCAACAACGCTGTGCTTTGTGGCGTAGAGTCTACCTTTAGCATTTTATTCTTGGCAAGGTACCTTTTATGCATCTGTTTCAGTACTTACTGGGAATAGCAGCCCAGTTGGTGAACATCCTTTTGCCCCCATAGTCTACCATGGAGAAGTGAAATCAATCAGGGAGAATAGTCCATTGATAAGTGTGATGCAACTAAACAAAGACTGCCATCGAGTCCATTTGGACTGAGTGATCTTAGAGGACAGAGCAGAAATGCTTGCTTAGGGGCTCTGAGGATAGGGTTTCCAGGGTTGTCCATCTGGAGCAGTCTCGTCTTCCTCCCTCGGCACAGCTAGTGGGTTTGAACCACTGACCTTGTTAGCCAACCAACACTTGACTCACCAGTCCTCCAAGTTCCCTTTGTTCCCTCCAAGTCAGGCTACACTGAGTGTTGACGGGAGCTGGGAAAGAGCCCTAGTGGTGCAATGGTTAGGTGCTTGACTGCAAACTAAAGAGCCAGCGGCTCAAACCTACCAGAAGGCACCTGGTGACCTGCACCCTAAAGATTTCAAAACCAAACTCACTCATTGTGACCCTATAAGGTAGAGTAGTACTACCCCATAAGGGTTTCTAAAAACCCAAACCTCAAACTCACTGCCATTGAGTCAATACTGACTCATAGTGAAGCTGTACCCCCGCCACACCACTGTGGGCTTCTGAGACTGTAACCCTTTATGGGAGTTAAAAAGCCCCCCTCTTTCCACTGTGGACTGGCTGGTGGTTTCAAACTACTGACCTTGAGGATCACAGCCCAACTATGCCACCTGGGCTCCTGGTTTCCAGAACTGTAAAGTTTGATGAGAGCAGGAAGCTCCATCATTCTTCTTATGAGTGGCTGATGGATCTGAACCACCAACTTTGTGGTTAGCAGTGAAAGGCTTAACGGATGAAGCCACCAGGGATCCCATGGAAATAAGCACTTAGGCCACCCTATGGGGCAATTCTACCCTGTGGTAGAGGGTCACTATGAGTCAGACCGGACTGAAGGCTCACAACAATAATAAGCTTTATCTGTTTGTTTGTTTTTTCATCAGAGTGCTTGCATGAGTTACATGGGGCTGCTGTAACAGAAACACCGCAAGCGAGTGCCTTTAACAAGCAGAATCTTCTTTTCTCACACTTTAGGGGCTGCAAGTATGAATGCAGAGTGCCGGCTTGACAGGAAGCCTTGCTTACTTCCTCACTCTGCTGGCTCCTCAGCCTGTACTTTCCAATTCCTTGGAGAGCTCTACATTTTGTTTTTGTTTTTCCCAAGGCTATGTATTGTGTATATATAAATCATTTTATTGGGGTCTCTTACAGCTCTTATATGTACACATGTGCTTGATACAATTGATGTATAGATTATTATAAAAGCTCCAAGTTTCTTTTTTTTATCATTTTCTTGGGGGCTCATACAACTCTTATCACAATCCATACATACATCCATTGTGTCAAGCACATTTGTACATTCGTTGCCCTCATCATTCTCAAAACATTTCCTCTCCACTTAAGCCCTTGGCATCAGCTCCTCATTTTCCCCACCCCTCCCTATCCCCACCTCGCTCAGCTCCAAGTTTCTTTTTTTTTTTAAACATTTTATTAGGGGCTCATACAACTGTTATCCCAATCCATACACACATCAATTGTGTAAAGCGCATTTGTACATCGTTTCTCAAAACATTTTCTCTCCACCCAAACCCCCAACATTAGGTCCTCATTTTTCCCCTCCCTCCCCGCTCCCCCCTCCCGCATGAGCCCTTGATAGTTTATAAATTAGTATTTTGTCATATCTTGCCCTGTCCGACGTCTCCCTTCATCCACTTTTCGGTTGTCTGTCCCCCAGGGAGGAGGTCACATGGAACTGTGTGTGACCTCCTCCCTGGGGGTTTTAAGCTTTTAACATTTACTTAAAAGGTAGCCCCCTCCGCCTCCCTCCCCACCTGCCCTCCGGTTTTCACGTGTCACAGCTGAATCGCCACATCCTGTTCCATAGCTCCTTTTATCGCCCAAATGACATCACGTGGCTTGCTTGGGAGTCCAGACAAGTGAAAACAAACAGACTCACATCTGGGAAACCAACATCGACAGGGGAAAACAACGCCATGAAAAGGGGGTCAAAGGAGCCACATGTCAGTTCCAGGAGGGCAGCCGTAGAAACTCTCAGGGGTGGGGCTCGGCGGCGGCTGCTATGCTGCTGTTCCTTTCTGCCTCAAGTTCAGAAACCAGCTGGACTACTTCAGGGTGACTGAATTTTCCGGTCTTTGTTAAGCTGGTCATCTTTGGTCACCAGAGCCATAACTGCCATCCTGTACATGTGATCGGACACACTCTCTGGCTTCTCTACATTTCTGTACACCCAGCCGGTCCGTGGGACCCTCTGATTTGGGGACGCGGGTCGGCAAGCACATGGTGTCATTCTACCCAGGGTTATACAAAAGATGGGACGCTGGCGTGGGGCTACTAATCGGAGGTCCTCGGTTGGAACCGAAAGGTATGAAGATCTACCTTGAGCTGCCCCACCAGCCGCAGGAAGTGCAGCAGGTCCCGGGCCCCGCGGGCCGAGGCGACGGCGGAGGAGACCGAGGCCATCGCGCCACCGGATCCGAGCAGGGGCCCAGCAGGCCGCTCGGCCGCGCCCGAGGCCCCGCCCTCTCGCCCAGCTCCAAGTTTCTTAACCATCTATCTTACCCCATTTCTCTCTTTGCTCACTTATTTCATTTCTTTTTATATCTCAAATGAAATGGATTTTGAATGCTGCCTTTTTAACATAACAAAGACAACCCATTCCCAAATGGGATTATGACCACAGGCATCCAAAAATCAAGCTCACTTCCACTGAGTCAATTCTGATTCTTAGTGACCCTGTAGGACAGAGTAGAACCACCCCTGTGGGTTTCTGAGACTGTAAATCTTTATGGGAGCAGACAGCCTCGTCATTCTCCCCCATAGTGGGTGGTGAGCTCAAACAGTTGACCTGGGTTCTCTGCACCACTAGGGCTCCTGCCAAGGACATAGAGGTTAAGATTTAGAACACAGATTTCTGGGAGACACAGCTCCATTTGTAACACTGCTGTTTGGTGGCAGGAGCACTTGAACCCTGTTTTGGAGATAAAGACCCTACGATACTGTTCTATGAGCTGTTGCTGACTAATGTCAATGAGAGCTAATATTAACTCATTGTGGAGCCTGTGCCAGGCTCTATTCTATATGCTATACATTTATTATCTCATTTAATCTCACACTACTCTATGAAGTTTTGTATACCCTTCTATCCCTAAAGCAATCCCTCTTCATATGCCTACAACACCATGAGAGCACCCCTCCAATCTACTTTGTTCATTACGATATTCATCCATAGGACGGCTGTCATCTTCACAGAAGCAGACTGCCACATCTTTCTCCCTAGAACAGCTGGGGGCTTCAAACAGCTTAGCCATCGCACCATCAGGACTCCTAGGGAAACTAAGGCAAAGAGAAATAAGCAATTAGCTCAGTTGGTAAGTATTAAAGTTCAGAGTTGAATCCAGCCTGATTCCAGGACCGCACTCTTACCGATGATGCGCGTGTCTACTATTGACATCGGTGCGTGCCCCTTCCATGTTCAGGCAGAGCTGGACCCACCACGCCCAGTTTCTGGTTTGGCTGCAGGCCTGGGTTAGCTGGTGACGGAAGCTACTTTTCTTGTTTTCTCCCTTCATTTTTAAGAAGCTTAAGAAAAGTTGCAAATATTGTAGAAAGAATTTTTTTTCTCCTGAGTCATTTGAGAGTAAAACTGACATGATGGCCCATTACTCCCTAAATTTTCATTTTTATGTCCTTCAAATGAGGACCATCCCTTATGGAACCATGGTAAACCAGGAAGTGATCACCAATACATTATCATGCACGCCTTAAGCCTACGAAACGTTTGCCAATTGTGCCAATATTGACCTTTCTAGCAAAAAGATCCAGGTCAGGATCAACAGGGCATTTGAGCTATCCAAAGAGAACTTCTTCTCTTTCAAGTTTCCTTTGTAATTGATAAGCATGCTAATAGAACAGTTCTTTGAAATACAATAAATATCTCATCAAAGTGTCAATTTATTAATTAATTTTATTTTTTATATTTGGTTTTATGAATCTGTCTTATTCAATAGATTATAATCTGGTCAGATTATGATTCATTTAAATGCTCAAATTACCCAGAGTTGCCAAGTGAGATAGTTCTTTAATCTGGACTGTATATTTTCCTTGTCACTATTATTCTGTGAGTACTCCCTTACTTTGCTGCTTTATTTTGTTTTGAACTTGTATTGTGAACTAGGCATAAAACCGTCACCAGTATAGCACTTAATCTTTTTCTTTCAAGTATTTAAAGCACTTTGTTCACCCTAAGCAACATTACCTGACACCAGGGGTTTGGTAAGCTATCTATATGTTTTTCTAGGACTCATTAAAATAAGTTATATTAAAAATGAGAAAGTGCAAACTGTTTTAAGTCAAATAAGGTAAGAACTAAAGTGCTAAAATGAGGAAGTTTCTCTACCTGCTCCTAGAAGGAAGTCATGTGCCCCAATGGTGCATTTCCACTCTTGGAGAAGCACCTATTCTCCAGAATGCCTGCCCTGGTAGCAGCCTACACTTCATAAGTGACATGCCATTGACATGTCCTGTGTCTCTTTGCAGGTGGAAGCTAAACTCAAGGATGCAGTGAAATCACTCAGCACGACCTGGTGTGCTCAGGAACCCAGCTTAGCCTATGAGAAAGCCTTTTTGGGAGTGGCAGTGAAATTTCTTGAGTGTGTGGCTCGCATGGCCCCAACAATGGCAAGGCTGGTGGCCTCCCCTGTGATAAATATGATCAATGGGAACAATGACATCCGGGGGTTTATCCAAAGCCAGGGAGGTTGGGTAAGTATATTGGGCATTTCTGGCTTTCCTAGGCATTTGAATTATGCTTGTACTAATACCCGGAATGCCAACTCATGACCCCGTTTGTAAGTTGGAAACCAAACAGGATAACAGGCTTTCGTACTTTACTGGAAATGCCAGGAGTTCCTTGGCACGAGTCCTAGTCACCTAGCGCTGCTGCAGTGGAAACACCAGGAGTAGATGGTTTTCATAAGAAGAAAGCTGCTCTCAGGTTAGGAGGCTAGCAGTCCTAATCCAGAGCACAGGCTCTAAGGGAAAGTTTTTTTTGTCTCTGTTGGCTCTGGAGGAAAGTCTCGTCTCTTTGCAGCATCTGTGATCCCTTGGAGATCTCCATGTGCCGTGGCCATCAGTCTTCCCTTGGGTCTAGGAGGTTTTTAGTGCAGGGATCCAGGGTTCAAAGTAAATGCACCACTCCTGGCTCTTCTTTCTTGAAGGTAGCAAGGTCTCTTTCCTTTTTAAGATAAAAAGTAATTTCATTTGACAGGATCTCTGGGAGTGTAGTACATAAGTGCTCGGCTGCTAACCAAAAGGTTGGTGGTTCAAACCCACGAGCCACCCCGTGGGAAAAAGTTGTGAAAGTCTGCTCCTTTGGGTCAGATCTGTTCTGTCCTGTGGGGTCAGTGTCATTCACAGTTGACCTGTTGGTTTGGGTGTATGGTCTAATTTGAATTTCCCCCCCCCACATGTGATATTATTAAGCTAAACCATGTAGAATCATCGATATTTATGATTGACCTCTAAACTCAGAAATTTCACACACATATCAGGATGGTATGCTTATTTTCACACCACTCAGTATCTCACTTCATCAACCTGGTTCATTTATTTTTTTGGATGGATCTCAATGTAGTATGCCGAGTTTAAGAAGCCAGATATAAAACGCTACTATCTGTATGGTTCATTTATATGCGCTAAGGATAGCTCATATGAAGGTTTGTTTGTTTAATTATTTTCTTGGGGGCTCACACAGCTCTTATCACAATCCATCCATCCATCTATCGTGTTGAGACATATTTCTGTAGGACATAATTCAATCCATGGCACTGTGTGAAAGGGGACACTCAGCCTGTGGAGGATGGACTTGAAGTGATGCTGCCTAGAACATTCCCTGCTGGTTTTTGTAAAGCTAATCCCTACTTCTCACACACACTCACTCCAATGCGTCATTGGGGAGGAGATTCTAATCTTAGCCTAGCTTCACTCGGTTTCCTAGGAGAATTCCGCCCTTCTTTCCCTAATATCTTTGAGGGGAGGAGAGTGTTTGGAATGTTCAGAAACATCTTAATATTATCCAACAACAACAAAGACAGTTCATTTTCTCTGCTGTTGTGATAACTGCTGGAGATATTCCAAACCCAAGCCGTGGGGAGCATGAGAGCATTTGCTGTCACAGAAAGTTCTATAAACAGGAGCATTCCCCGCCACTTCCTGGGTCAGCAGACGCCAACCAAGAGCAGTGTTTCCTTCTAAATATCTATAGATCGTGCCCTGGTTTTCTAGGAAGTTCCCCAAGACCATCCCCTTGACTGTTGGATTGTCACTGTTCTAGGAAAATCTGGAGAGCTGAAGAAGTGGAACGATTTCCCAACCTGGACGACATCGTCTCCTCTTTGAGCTGGTGATTCAAGCAAACAAATAAATAAAAGCTCACTTTCTGCAATTGTACAATTTTTATCTTTTACTTTTTGTGAAAAGTCAAAAAAAAAAAGCCCAGAGGCCTACAGAGAGTTTACCCTTTATGTTTCTGGAGGAGTTTCAATAGATCCTATTGAAATAAAGACTTCAAGATACCAGATAATGACTTGTTAATTAATAGTGGGATATTCCGGGCAACTGGGCAGGCCTTTGCGAGAGATATTTGGGGGGAAAGAAGGAAAACAGGAAAGTATTCCTCAAATTCAGCTCTATTTTTGGTAAGGTTCTAGTCTACCCATTTTTCAATCTAAAGGGTTTTCAAGGAGATTTCTAGTGTGAAAGTCTTATTCCCTTGAGAATTCCCTGCCGCCGCCCCCTCTCCCCCATATATACCTATAATTTCACTGGAGCAGAATTATCTGATGCATTTTAGAGGGTGGAAGACAAAAACAGCAGTTTGTGTGTCCTTCTCCTTGAAAGGTCAGAGAAAGAGAAAAGTTACTGTCTTTTCACCGTCACAGGATGCAGGAAGTGCCAGCCCACATCTAGGACAGTAGGGCCACCTCAGCTTAGATTATGCTAGTCACACACCGCAATGTTTTCCAGAGTGTGGCTCATAGTCCACTTGTGCACCTTAGTAAATTACTGATTCCCGGGCCTCACTCTCAGAAATTCTGACTCTGTAGGGCTGGGTTATTATATGAG